GCCGCTCAGGGGCGGGGTCGGCGCGCGCGTGCGATTGTGGAGAAAGGGGCGGGGCCGGCCCTGTGCTGAATGCTGTGTGCGGCCGACCCCCTCCCATCCTCCTGGGGTGGGTGGGGCCTCGGTTTGACTGCTGCGCCTAGGCTTACTGGGTTGGGGGACGGGCAGGGGGTCTCCCGCGTGTGGCTTCGGGACGAAGCAGGGAGGGGGAGTGAAGTCTGTCTTCCTCCGCCTTCTCGGGATCCGGTTGGCCGGAGGGGCCATACGGAGCGGCGATGCCACGCCTCCTAGCCGCTCTCCCCCTCCCCCCGGTTTCCGCCTCCTTGGCAAGTGAGGCGGGGCTCGGGAAAGCCCGCTGTCGGTCTGGCTGGGAGTCGCGGCGCCTAGGTCTGCCCCGCCCTATGTCTCGGAGAGTGGGAGGGGCCCCAGTCGACCCGAGCTGTGGAGGTGTCAGGACACACTGTTGTGGCTCGGCCGTGCCTTTTGCTTGGGGCACGAGGGCCTGGTGTCGGAGCTTTTGTCTCCTCCTTGGTCCTTGCAGTGGTGATGGCACTGTGCAGCTTGGAGAGTGCGAGGATGGTAACCGCCACTCCTCGTTGTAATTATTGGGGCGATGTGCTCAAGGTCCTTGCGTTGAAGTGTGCGGTCGAATGCTGCTCGCTATGTGACCATGCTTCCGCAGCTGTGATGGTGGGGGGAGGGATAGAGAGTTATCAGAGACTGGAAATGTGGCCGAGGACCTTTCCTGGAGTTCCTTGAGGTTCAGTTACCGTCGCTGTACGGGGCGGGGCTTTCTTTGAGCCAATGGGGTGGTGGGTAGTTAGTTAGACTTGGCCACTGTTTCGGTGCCTTAGGACTTCAAACCCAGTTAACTGTGAAAGGCTTTGGGAATTCCTGCTCTTCACAGGGCTCAGCTTTAGAAAAGGAAGTTTTGGATTTACATTTTACTATTAAAATTTGATTATAAAAGATGGTGATTAACAAAAAACCCTGAATATCCTGATTTCATCCTTGCATTTTTTAATGCCTTCATTGTACAGGTGGGTCTGCTATATAAGCCTAATTTCACAAAGAAATAAGTTGCAATTTAGGTAACTATAGGTGTTCTTGAAAAGTCTTCTGGTCTTATGAAATTGTTAGAACGTCTAGACCACTTTATATTCTCTGAAGTATACTAGTCTTACCTTGTTTTATTACAGGAAGTGGAGTGAAGTCGAGAACTAGTGTGGCCTTGTGTATGTGACATCTAGTGTTGCCTTGCAACCTGTATTGGAGAATTGCCTTAGGACAACCATTTTGATTGAGGTCTTTGCTCTGCTTCGATAGTCTATTATGAAAAATAAAATATTTTCAAGAGAAAATAAACATTGAATTATCAGTTTTTTTATTCACTAACATCCAAGCAAGTCCTGGCTAATTGTCTGAAGTTAAATTCTAGGTTTGTGCTTTGCTTGGTTGAGACTGAGAGCTTGGTGCCCTGTGCTGGACATGTCTGAAGAGAGTAAGTCTCACCTCAGCTAAGGAAGTAGGAGTGGCAACAGTATCTTTTTAGTTTAATGGTGGCTGTAATAGAATTGGGCTGGATACTGAAAACCTGGGTGTTTTTCCCGATGCTATAAACTGGCAAAGATAGTGAAGACAGTGGAGGATTTACCATTGAGGAAAGTTTGGTCCACAAGTGGTTGTCACCACCATTTACAGCACGAATGTGCTGGGAAATGGAATACCTGATTCTTGCCCTTAAAGAATTTATTGCCTATTGGTGTAGCAGGGTCACAAGTCCCACAGAGACTTTAAGAATTCACATAAGAACCTAGTTATAATCTAAGGAAAGTTTCATAAATGCTTGTCTCTCCAGATATCAGTATTACAGATTATGTAGTTTTGTCAAAATTAAAGACCCTGGATAGATTGGCATTTTGTAATTAAGGTTTCACCTGAAGGATAAGATTCTTTTTTTTAAGGAAGGAGATGTGTAGTGATTTGATAAGATTCCTGGCAAAGCATAGTCCTATTCACATCTTTAGTGCAAACAGACAAGATATTGGAGAGTTGTGCAAGGCAGATTTTATGCCTGTGAATTTTAGTTGGAATTAAAAGATTATGTTCATGGAGTTCAGTAATCTAGTGCAGTGCTTTAAAAGGCTTTCTCGTTCTTCTGGTTAACTCCACCAACCAAGAGTTTGTTAAGCTTTACTTTCTGTAGTTCTTTTAAAAAATTATAGTTACATGTTTTTTCAAAGTACATCCTCTATCTCCTTGAACAATCAGAACTCAGCATTTATTGAGCCCTTACTATGTCCTAGACACTGAGTTAGGCACCATACATTTATTAACCCATTTAATCCTCATGACAGCCTGTGTAGTGGATACTGTGAAATCCATGTTTTAAAAGTGAGTGGCACAGAGAAGTTAAATATATGGTAAGTGGCCAAGCCAGGATCTGAATCCAGGCATTCTGGTTCCAGAGTTCATGCTCTTAACTCTTCATTTCAGCTACCTCTGGTCTCAGGATAATAAACAGAGAAGAAACAGTATGTTTTTTCTTAATTTTGGTTAGAATAGATGTATAAAACAAAATTCACCATCTTAACTATTTTTAAGTATTCCATTCAGTGGCATTAAGTACATTCAAATTGTTGTGCAACTGTCACCACCATCCATCTCCAGAACTTTTTCATCTTCCCAAACAGAGACTATAGACATATTAATAATATAAATCTCCCCCCAGTCCCTGCCAGCCACTATTCTACTTTCTGTCTCTAAATGTTACTAAGTACATCATAGAAGTGGAATCATACAGGATGTCAGTTGTGTGTTTATTTCACTTAGAATAAAGTTCTCAAGTTTTATCCATGTTATAGCATGTGTCAGAATTACCTTTTTAATGATAAATATTATTACATTGTATGTGCAAACCAATTTTGTTTATCTGTTCATATGTTGATGGACATTTGGGTTTCCACCTCTTGGCTATTGTGAATCATGCTGCTATGAACACGGGTGTATAAATATCTCTTCAAGTACTTGCTTTGAATTCTTTTGGAGGTATACTCAGAAATGATATTGCTAGATCATATGGCAATACTGTTTGTTTGTTTATTTATTTATTTGAGAAACCAGCAGTATGCTTTTGAAAGCAGCTTTGAGAGAAAAGATTAGGACTCAGATTCTAAAGGTGGATTGAGTCAATACCCATTTATTGACCACCTTAAAGAGCTCTGGGCTGACACAGGAAGAATGTTTGTTCTCGAGAAGTTAAAAGGAAGGGCAAATATACATCTGATGATTTTACTACACATCAGTGTAGGTTGACTGCCATAAGAGTCAAGTACATGTTCAGAGGAGGGAGAGCCCACCTTTGGCTGGAGGAACAGGGGACATGGAATGAGAAACAGGAAAAGTGAAGTCTGAAACCATAGATCCAGTTTAGGCAAGTGTTAAATGACTTTTAGAAATCTCACTCAAAGTATCCCCAGAGAGTGCTTTGAAATGTTAGAAGGGATGGCATCATGTTGAAATTGCCAAGTGGATTATAGTCTATTTTTCAGTTTGTGAATCCTGTTCTTTTCAGTTTGCAGATTTGATTGCTTCTACTGCTTTGGAAGTTAAGAAATCACAGTAAAGAAATTACGAAGTTGGCATATATGTTACTGTTACCCTGTCAAGCTCAAGATGTATTATTAATATGATCAACTATTGTGTCTTAATACTTTCTACAACATGGGTTCATGTTTCTGCTTCTTTAATGTGTGTAGTAGAAGTGATATCTTATGATTTTTATGTTTTTCCTTGTTACAATTTAAGTAAATAATTCTGGATATTTATGTTTTTGTTGAGGTTAAGGTCAAATCATGAAACCCATCCAGCAGCATACTTGGATAGTCTGTGAAACAGGGTTCTGCCATTATTAAATAATATTCATTCCAAATATTTCAAGGAATTTTGTTTTCCTGACACTTTTTTAAAAAGCATGAATTCTAATTGTCTTTAGACAATTACCTAATGGTCTTTTAACAACACATTAAAAAACCAAAACTTTGCCTTTATTTAATTATGTAATTTTCTTTTGGGGTCTCTTCAAAAGATGTGCCCAGTGGGATTTGTTATCAGTTATAGCCAAATGCATAGAGGATTTTGTCCTCACACATCAGGGCAACTTCCTGTTGTTTTTTCTCAAGGAGCACCGCACCTAGTGGTGCACAGTCCGTTTAGATTGGGACTTAACTTTCTTGATAGCCTCAGTGCTTAGGACAGTGCTGGGACACAGTAGGTGATAAATAGTTTACAAATTGAAATCTAATGGTATTTTAAAGTTTGCTAACTAGAGGTTATCTAGTTAGTAATTGGTAGCAATTTCTAACTGATAATCTCTTTTTTTTTTTTGCCCCTCCGTTTTTTTTGCTTTTGTACTCCCCACCCCACTTCTGGCTTGTATGCCTGCATGTCATTTGTATTTACCAGCATCTTGGCAGTGAACATTTCCTTAGTCCTGCTGGTAGCCTCCAGGGCTAGGCTTGCTGACTTGCAGGCTGTTGAAGTATACATATACACATCCACAGTCCCTTATCTGCAACTCTGAAATGCAAAAAGTTTAGTTTATTGGTTGGTTGGTAAGTTTGGTTTCACAGCTAATTTAGGGGCACAACTTGATCTTGGCTGTCCCACTTGGTGCAGAAACATGCTTGATTTTGGAGAGCTACCATAAGCACTATATTACCTTTCTAAAATCCAAATAATGCTCTCAAATTTCTATCTCTAACTGAGGACCTCTCCCTTGCACTATAGACTAACATATCCAGTGGCCCACTCTGTATTTCCTGTTGGATATCTACTAGGCGTCTTTGTCTTTTTCATATATGGTTT